GAGGAGATGGAGGAACTGGCGGGATGGGGGGAGGGGAGAGCTTACCTGCTCCTGCTGGTTCCTCCTACGCCTGCTGAGTTTGCAGCTCCCCCCCCCCCGCGCGCGAGTTTCGCGGGTCTTTCTTGTTCTAATCTAACCTGAATGTGGTCAGGGAATGGGCAATTGTAGCCAGGTCTAATTTTTCAAGGAAAGGCCATAGCCAGTGTACCAACTGAAGTTGCTTACCCATCACAAAGGACACTTGAACTCCTGTAGGTAGGATATGATATAACCCTCAAGTTACAAATTTGTTCCTTTAGGGGAGACCACAGTGCAGAAGAGATTGATTCCTTAATCGCTGATTTGTGACTCAGCAGCACCTCAGTCCTGAGCTGTAGTTTATTTGGCCTTCAGCCAATACATTACCATCTTCAGACACTTGTTCATGTCATCCACTGACTCACCTGACTGTACAAGCAGGCAGAAATAGTTTCTGCATCCTGATGACACTCCAAACTTCTATATAGTCTCTCCCAGTGGCTCCATGTAGATTTGAAACCTGCGTGTGGGGAGTTTGAATTCAGTAGAATTTCTTTGAATTTAAGATTGCACTGTTAGTGTGTCTCTTCATCTGGTGTCTCCGTAACCCTCTTCATTTAGCCTGCACTCGTCCCACAGGAGATGCTCTGGGGTTCCTCAGCAAACAAGCTGATGTGGACAATTCTTTCTTGAGACAGAGTTCAAAAACCCTCTGTAGTTTGCAGTAATTCCTGGTCAAGAAGCTTCTTTAATCTAAAGCCACACGTTTCTTTGCTTTTCAGGCAGTACATTAATTATCTTCTTGGCAGACCAAAAAGAACCCTACTTTAAACCCAAAGTCAGTCTCCAATTGAAGTAAGTATACATAGCAAGTTGGGTCTTTCTTTCATTCCATCCAAGAAAGCTTAAGTCTCATTGTTCTTGTAGTTGTTTGTTTCATCTGCTTGATTGCCGAGTTTATTTTGCCACAGACAGCATTAAGTCTGGAGTTGGGTATGGGGGGGAAATCAGGAAAGCCTGAAAAATGACAACCTTAATTGTTCACAGCTTGTGGGCTAGAAGAGACACAGTGTACAATTTCTTTACTCTTTTGGCTCTCTGGTGTGTCAGGGGCTGTGGCTTTTGAGGCTTTTGATCACCTGGGCCTAAGAGGACTCTTTAATGGTTTGAGAGGAAGGCCAGAATCCTTAGCCTCATCACAGGGTACACTGGGGTGGGTCCTCTGTTACTTTAGGGCTTGACAGGACTTCGTGTGCTAAGGGAGAATCTAAATCAGGGGTGTTGAACTCATTTGTTATGAGGGCCGGATCTGACATAAATGAGATCTTGTTGGGCCAGGCCATGTGTGTCATAAAATGTAATGCCAGGTAGTGGAGATATAAACTTATAAAGGACACAAACACAAAGGTTTTTTTAACTTAAAAACTTGCTTAAAACATTAGCACTCTTGCAATATTTTGTTTATTTAACAGTGTCTGATAACTGACACCTCTTGCTCTGAATTATTGTATCAAAATGTCTGTACAGTTGCAATCTTGAGTATGATGCAGCAGCAGCAGAACTGGAAGAAGAAACAGAAGACAGCCAGTTCCATTGCAGGCCTGATAGAAGCCCTCCAGGGGCCTGATTCGGCCCCTGGGCCGCATGTTTGACACCCCTGATCTAAATGGCAAGTTTGGCACTGCTGGTCTGGGCTTAGCATCTACAACCTACTATACCCATGTTTCTGCAAACCACAATGCATTTCTTCATACTTGCCATTTTTCTCATTAAACAAAAGTCCACTGTTTAAATGGGCTTGATGGTAATTAGGACAAGTATGTATCAGGTCTTCAGTAACTGGTTTGTACAGGTTTCTTTTGTCTAGAATAAATGACACATGGGTACATATTGTTGGGCTAAAGTATGCTGCTTGTTTCTGTCTTGCTGTTGTAAGGAACTTCGAGACTTTCTCCATAGGGGACATAGGCATCGGTTTGCAAGGGAAAAGCTAATCTTACCACAAAGGCTATTTGCTACTAGGTGTATACGTACTTAATGCACTAGAAGAAAGGCAAATGCAGAGCTATTGAATTATTGATCAAGAAGTACAAAAGTAGAGCCAGAATTCTGAGCATTTTAGCAGCAGAGATTTACAATGGCGTTTGGAATTTCAAACTACAGCTGTCAGAGGCTGTATGGAACAATGACTTTAGAAAGTAAGCTTGAAGTTCTGAGGAGTTCAAATGAAGAGAGAACAAAGATGATGATTTAGGGCTCAGGTTTTACCTTGAATTCTGTTGAGGATGTGTGTGGCCCTCCACACATTCTGAGGTCTTCCTTGGAAAGACCTGCTTGGTGAGCCACCCCCAACAAAGATAGGGTACAGATTATGCAACAAGTTCCAGTTCCTGCATAAGCTTTCTGGAAATAGAGATGCTTTTGTCAAGTGCTGGTATTCACGTGTGGCTTTCACTATTTAAGCTGAGTACTGCTGCTGCTACTGTTTTGCCAATTACACTAGTTTTGTTTCAACATAATTTTGTATTTATTGCATTGTTGGTTGTATGTACTCTATAAGTGATGTTGTTTTGAATGTTGTAATCTCGTCTTGAGTCTCGGCAAGAAAGGTGGGCTGTAAATAAATGTGTGAGATTCTGTTTTTACCAGGGTTCGTGGATTATAAAATTTTAATCTGTTTTTTTTTCCCAATCAGGTAGGGTTAGGGATTATATTTGCCTGTTTTTAGAGCTTTGGGAAGACATTAGAGAGGTGTTGCATTGATCCACATTATTGTCATTCCTGCAGTGCTCCATCAAGAGATGGATGATGAACACCAACAGAGAGAGTTGATAAAGATATTCGAAACTGCTTGTTAATCCTGGGGAAATGTGTTCTCTTTATCTCTTGTATTCCTTGGATTCACACGTCTTTAAAGGAAGGAGTGATAAACGCTATTCAGCAGCTTGAAAAACTTTTTAGTCTACTTTTCCACTTCATAGCTCTATCAAGGCGCCCTGAAGAGAAAACATTCCAGGAGCATAGCCTAAACAGTGTCAAGAACATTTGCATCAAGCTTTTGTATTGTACTCACACCTTTATCTACCGGCTTTGCCTATGTTTATGGCATGTACTTTACATAAAGTTGATTGTTAAGAAATCTGCACTATAAACATTATAAAGTGTACAACCAAATGTGTTTAAAGTCATGGAATAGTGTTTTTCTTCCATGAGCTTATTTTTTCCCCCCATTGTTTTTAGTGGGAGGCCGCCCACTGGTTGGGCCCTCCCTCCCGCCCTTGCTTCTCCAAGCAGCGGGAAAAATGACCTGGGCCAGAAATGATGTCTGGCAATGTGTGACATCACATCTACCCAAAAACCTGGAAATGATGTAAGTGTGTCAGGTGATACTCTGATCATTTCCAAAGACACTATTTTGAGGGGACAGCCAGAGCATCTCCCAGTGCGCTTATGTCACATCTGGGTTTTCAGGCAGATGTGAGATCACACATCACTGGACGTCATTTCCACCCATCACCCTAGCCCGAATGCTTCTAGAAAGTTGGCAGGCAACTTGGCACCTCTAGGCAGGATATACTAAATGTTTAAATAAATGCAAGTAAATTCTGCACAACTTAATGTTTAAGAGTTCCCCCCCCCAAAGATAATTTTGTTCACAGTATTTGAGGAAGTTTCTCTATTGACCCTAACAACTTTTCTCTTGGATTTTAGGAGTGTGATAACCAGTGTGGTTCCTGGTGATTATAATGGCGATTCACAAATGGATGTCCTCCTGACAGCTCACCCACAGAATCAAACCAATGCTGACCTGTCAGTGCATATTTTCTGGGGAGATAATCAAAGCCTAAGTAAGCACCACTAACGTTAAAAACATTAAAAGAAGCAGGTTCAAACCTAACAATTGGCTTATGATATGAACTGTTTGGAGAAGCAGCTAAGCCTCATCTGTCTTCTCTCCCTTACCCCATCCACAACCAATTCCAACCTACTCCCAGAGGTCATTTCGGGGGGGAACGCGGGGGATCGCAGTTCCCCCGGGTGAGGTATGGGGGCGGGGCACATGACGAAGCCCCGCCCCCTGCTTCCGGCCGCCCCGCTTCCGGCCCTCATTCAGCCAGGAGGAGGCAGGAGAAGAGGGAGGGTAAGTTGCTTCCTCCCTGCGTCTCCCCACCCCTGCCTGCCTGGGGCCAGGGAGGGCCTTCGCGGGGCTTCCTTGCACTCCCGCCGGCCTTGCAGGTCCACTGCCGGGCCCCTCATGGGGCTCGGCAGTGGAGCTGCAAGGCTGGCGGTGGCGGCCGGGACCGTTGGGGGTGGGGTGTGTGGCCTTATGACACACTTCTGGTGATGTCAGGGGGTGTGGCCTTATGACACACTTCCGGTGATGTCAGGGGGTGTGGCATATGCTAATGAGTTATGCTAATGAGTTCCCATAGCTCTTTTCCTACGAAACGACCCCTGCCTACTCCCAACCTGGAACTGTTACCCAGTTTTAAAATTGTAGGCCGAACCTATCTGTATACAGTAACTTTGGGACTGAGTGAATGAGCTTTGCTCTGTAGTGCTCCCAGTTCACATACCAGCTTCGTACTCCCCAGTTAGTTTCCAGCAAGCAGCTGTCTCTCCGTTTCATCTCTCACTGTGGTGTGAGAGTGACAATAATGCTCCGTCTTCTTTTTAAGGCTGCTGTAAATACTGATGCATGCCTAGTTAAGTGCCGTATGGAGGAGACAATACAGTCAGAGTTAATGCACTTTGAAGCCCAATTGATTTCCGTAGCAGAAAAGTCTCTGGAAATGTTTTCGTATTGTACTGAATTTTGGCATGCTTGCTCTTCAGCTGTTTTAAAACTCCCTTTATTTAAAAAATGGTTCGTTTTAGAAACACGAGTCCTAGTGAGCTCTCAGTGGTGTCAGTCAGGAAAAGAGATGCTTACAAGTTCAAAATCCAGGTGAATTTTTTTAATTGTGTTTTCAGATATCAATAATAACTTTACATTGAAGAAGACTTTTCGAGATGAGCCACTAATCATGGAGTAAGTATGCTTTATTACGGGGAGAGCTTTTAAAGTTAAATTGGAAAGAAGTACTTTTCTCCCTTTCTCACAATACAAGAACTCGTGGCCACTCAGTGAAATTACTGAGCAGTCGGGTTAGAACAGATAAAAGGAGGCACTTCTTCACCCAAAGAGTGATTAACACATGGAATTCACTGCCACAGGAGATAGTGGCGGCTACAAGCATGGACGGCTTCAAGAGGGAATTAGATAAGCGTATGCAGCAGAGGTCCATCAGTGGCTATTAGCCGCAAGGTATAGATAGGAACTCTCAATCTGGGGCAAGTGATGCTCTGTATTCCTAGTGGTGGGGGGCTAACGGTGTGGGGGGGCTTCTAGTGTCCTGGCCCCACTGGTGGATCTCCTGATGGCACCTGGTATTTTTGGCCACTTGTGTGATGGAGTGTTGGACTGGATGGGCCATTGGCCTGATCCAGCATTGGCTTCCCTTATGTTCTTATGGAACAAAGCATAGCAAATACAATGATAAGTTCAAAGTTGTCATGCTCTCTCTGTCTCTCTCAAAGTTCACATGAGGGCTTTATACAGATCTTGCTTTTTAGGTTTTAAGGTTCTAGGGTTTGGGGAGGTAGCGTTTTATACTTGTTCAATCCAGTCATGACCTGTGCTGCTATTTAGTTGTGTCACTGGAAAAACTCAGCTCTTCCTTCTTGTTGCAGTTTCAATGGTGATTTAATTCCTGATGTTTTTGGAGTACCGGCCGAATCTACAGTTCCATACGTATTAATTGGCAGGTAACCCAAAATTATTTACAACTATTTGAATGCGTGCATGGTTGTATCGTAAGAACATTCTTTGCAGGGCTGATGCCCAGAAATATTCTTGCTAATCAGATACAGGCCCCGGGCACACGGGCCAGATATCGTGGGGGGAGGCGTGGCTAATTGCCCCAGCGCAGTTTGATCCGCGATTACGCGATCAGACGCGCCGGCAGCACAGCACGGGTCCTTCCCTCGGTGCCAGAGGGTAAACGAGGAACCGGAGGGGAATGCCACGTGCCAGCGCAATCACACCACGGGCGTCTGGAGGCAGCCCGTGGCAAATGTTTACTAGTACCTTGGAGGTACTAGTTTTTAAATGCGCATTGTCGGCAGTATGCCACGGGTGTGCTCCACTTCCCAGATGTTAGGGTGTGATCGCGCCCGGATAATCCGCCCACCTTCCGTGCCTGTCCCACGGCGACTTTGCCGTGTGACCGGGGCCACAATTGGGTTTACAATGAACTTAGTTTCCGGGGTGTGTTATTTATTTATTTAGACTTTTAAGCCTGCCCTCCCCTGCACTGCAAGGCTCAGGGCAGGTAACAACAAGTCAAAAGGATACTACAATTAATTATTAAAAGCAAAATAATACAATAGTAATCAAAGATAAAGTTAGTGGGACTTGCGCAGACGTAAAACATTGGGGATGCTGTGGCCACAATATTTTTACGATTCCTGCATTTTCGACATATGAATCTCTTGCTTGCATGATGATGACACAGTGCTGGAAAAGATCAGGAGGCAGGTCGTGACCTTGTGAGCTTCCATCCTTTTTCTTTCACACCTGTCTGAGATGCAGATCTGTTTGCTTGTTTGCTTTTAATCACTGTGCATTATATCTTCACTGATGCTAACCATGGTTAATGGTAGTTGGGGTTTCCCTCTTAAGCTTGGGTTTACAGACGAGCTTCAAGTCTTGGTCGTAAATCCCTGTTAAGGACCGAACCTGGTGAAAGTGAACCATTGTTTGCATCTGTGTGAATGAACTACAAAATTGTGATTAAAGCACAACAAGAGGAAAAGTGTATCTGAAGTGGGAGGAGGACAACAGTGGGAGTCCATGGCCTGCTCTTGAGTTAACCGTGGTTAACTGCTATTAAGTCTGGTTTATTTACAATGACGGTGTGCCCTGTTTTGATTGGGGAGAGGGATTGTAGATACCAGTTGGACCCAGGCGCTTGGGTCCTGCCATATTCCTGAACGTGAAGGGGCGTGCACAAGAGTCCAGACTTTGGAATAAGCTTGGGAATAAGAGATTTATGTTTCCCTTTGTGTGTATGTGTTTTGGCTCAACCTGTTCTGAATTTCAGGCAGCAGTGTGTGGGGGTGGGTGGGAAATGAGGGTTTACCCTTCAGTAATCTGAGGCTGATGATGCTCACTGCCCGGGGAGGTCCATGCAATTTAAGAGACAGAGCGGAAGACCAATTATAGTTGGAATTGGCTTCAAGACGTTACAACCATTTTCCATATTTGACTGTGGTCCTGGTCACACGGGCAGGAAAATGCGGGGGGGAAACGTGGCTGTTAGCCCCGGGGCTAAAAACCGCGCGGTTGCTCGAGCAGACCTACCGGTCGAGGTCCCGTGGTAGGGGGGAGGTGCCGATCACTCCACAGTCCTGCGGTGCGGCAAAGGAGCGGGGCGCGGGGTAAACGGGGTTGTTGTGGGGGGGGTTAACTCAAATGTGTGCATGCTCCCTTGGGTGCTTGTGCGCATCCGTGGAGACTTTGGGAGAAAAAAAAACCTTTTTCCGAGGGGACATGGGCGGGCGCCAACTACCACCGGAAATGCGATCAGACGCCCGCCCATGCCCCGCGGTTTCAGGAAACTAGTACCTCCGAGGTACTAGTTTTTTTACCGCGCATCTTCCGCGGGAAGCCTCGGGTTTGCCACGGGAGCTCGACGCTTCCCAGATGTGGCGTTGAGATCGCGCCCAGAAAATCCGCCTACCTTCCGTCCCTCTAGCAGTGTCCGTGTGACCGCAGTCTGTGTAAACTTTGTTAGTCTAAATCTGCTGTACTGCTTCAGACCAACAAGGCTGACCAACTGGATCTATTTTCACGAGGCCTGTTTGTTAAAAAGCAATGTATTAAATATTGTAAAATGAATAAGGGCATGGAGTAAGAGAAGCACAGAGGCAAATCCCTCTAAACTTTTCATCTTACTGGGCCTCTGTTCTTTACTTCTTGCTCTGGTTCTAGAATGCTATGAGGCCTGGACCCCCATTGGTTCTTCTTCTACATATATAAGAGTGTGCATTATGGTGGCTCAGCAATAGTTTGCTGAACAAATCCAGCTGTCTGCAGTCTTTGACAGATGTTCCGGGTTTATATGTAATCAATGGCAGCGCTCATCACCTGGAAAGGAAATGGTTTGTTGTGAAGTGTTTTGCGCTTCCCTCGGGCTTTTTAGCTATTGTGTCAAGAAAAGCATGTTAGAACTGGAGAAGTCAATCAGATTACGCCTCCGTTTCCATAGGAACAAGCACATCAGGGTTTTTTTTAAAAAAAAACCCACAAAAAAACGTCCCCCAAGCACTTAAATGCTTAATTAAAGAACCTGTTCATGCCAGTCACAGTTAAGAATGTTACTGTAAAAAAAGAAAAGAAAAGATAAAAGACGCCTTTGTTTAAGTAAATGGCCCAGTAATTTACAGAGCAATCGCTTGGGGGCGGGGCGGTAATCAGAATACAGACCTGACCAACCCCTATGCTGGTGAAACTTGGAGTTACGCCAGTGTAAGGGCAGCACTGTGCCCCGCGCTGGCAGAGCAATAGCATAAACCCCTCCGCCGGCGTAGATGTGGGTGTTCCAGGGGTGTGTGGCAGCAGTTAGGTGGCTTCCAAAGTGATTTCAGCATGAGAATCCCCCCCCCCCCCAAGCACAAAGTTGTGCCGGCAAAAATGGCATTGTAGCCCATTGACAGCTGTGGCAACTTCAAATTCACTTCTGCACACTCAGCTGTTGCCAAGCCCATGGTACCCCAGGCAGCTCAGACTACCGATTTAAGTGTGCACCCGAAGCCCACTCCCCTGCTCCAGCAGCGCCCCTCCTTGGAACCCAATCACAGCCCCCCAGCCTACAGACGGTTCCAGTAGGTTGCCCCAGAATTCCAGAGGAGGGGCGTGTGGCACGGAATGCAGTCTGAAAGCTCCCCACCATGCAGACTTATTTATTTATTATTTTAATTTATAGCCCACCCTCCCCGCAAGCGGGCTCAGGGCAGCTCACAAATAGGGCAAAGGCCAATACATAAAACAAGTTTAAAAACGACATAAAAACAATCATGTACAATATTCCAAGTGCTCTAGATGTTCATTGGATTTCTTAACCACACTTCCCCGCCTACGCGGGGCTCAGGGCAGTTTACAGCAAGATAGTTCCGTACAGTTATAAAAGCAATCAAAACCATAAACATACAATATTAAACAAACAACATACATTTTAAACATTCCAATAACAAATGGGCTGTCTTAGCATTCAGATTTTTGGGGAAGGGGGGAGGGTACCGGGCAGATGTAGGAAAAACCATTGCTGGCCTCAACCGAAGGCCTGGCGGAACATCTCTGCCTTGCGTGCCCTGCGGAACTTTAATAGATCAGACAGGGCACGGATGTTGTTAGGCAGAGAGTTCCACCAGGCGGGGGCCAAGGCTGAGAAGGCCCTGCCCCTGGTCGAGGCCAGATGGATATCTTTGTGGCCAGGAACCACCAGGAGGTTCTTATCTACTGATCTCAGTGCTCACTTAGAGTGAGCACACACGCACCTTGGTGGTGGGCACAACAAGGCACCTGCCAGTGCCCTTCGTGCTGCCACGGCAGAACGTTGCTGGCTGCTCCTGTGTCTGTTTTTGGCCCTTAGTTAGGCACTGATCCAACGGGAAGAGCCGACACCTCAGTCGTGCAGCTGAAACACCACTGTGTTTGGCCACTGTGTGACACAGCGTGTTGGACTGAATGGGCCATTGGCCCGATCCAGCACTGCTTTTCTTAAGTTCTTACGTTCAACAAGTGCTCACACCACAGGAGAAGCCCCTTGTAAGCGCCCAGACGCATCCAGCATCCTGGTCATTCGCTCCCCACTGCAGCAAAGGACTGAGCGGCCTACCCGTCGGAGGGTGTGTGATCCCACCAGAACCACTCCATTATCCTTGGGTCCCATACATAAAGTTGAATCGTTGTGCCCATCTGTGGCTTCGGTGTCTGTTGGGGGTCCTTGGGAGAGGGAGCGGCAGAAGGGTGTTGAGGAAGCAAAAAGGACCCGGTGGACACAGTAGGGGCAGGGGCCTCATCCTGACAAGGCTGCAGCCACAGAAATGGACGCAGGCGGGTGGGAGCGTAAGGCAAAGCGACAGGCCGCCATTCCCACAGTCACACCGTGCACAAGCACGATTGGTGGGTCGGCCAACTCGCCTCGTAGAAGAAGCGGGGGAGGTGTCCTGGGACGGCAGGGTCCTGCAGGGGCAATCCCATGGGTGGTTGCTTCCAGAGCAGCCTTGGGGGACACGGCTGGCTCCAGTGGGTCGGCATGGCTCGACAAGGAGCGCCGGACACGTTGTTGGAATAAAGCCATTGGCACACCTACTACAAAAATACAGAAGTATTGGATATTTATTCAGAAAATAATACAGGAAATGATAAAAGTCAAACTCGAGTTAGTGCCAGAAACGTTTTTACTTAATATACTTCCAGAACATATTGGCTATAATGATAAATATTTAATAATATATATATTAACAACAGCTAGGATACAATGGGCGAAATGTTGGAAGCAAGAAAGTAACCCCAAACAAGATGAAGTAATAGAGAAAGTTATAGGAGTAGCGGAAATGGATAAATTGAGTTTATTGCTACAAGGGAAAAGTGAAGAGATTTTTGCAAAATGATGGTCGGGAATGTATAAATGGCTAGAAAACAGATAACAGACTCTAAGATGTATTCATAAGAATTGAACAAATGATTATGTATGAAAACCCAATAAATATAATTGAAAAGGGAAAAAAAAAGGAATAAAGCCATTGGCATAAAGGCCCGCCACTACGGTGGTGTTCGACCGATAACTGAAAGCACAGCACAGCGGATATGGTTAGTTTAAGAGGGCATAGCCCTGGGGAGCCTCATTAGGGCTATCCAGAGCCCAGCCATCCCGGGGAAATATCTGTGCATGCAGCTAAGGGGCTCGAACAGCAAACAGCACCCGGGCAATGTTGGCCGCCAAAGCACTAGTGATGGGCGATGGGAATGATAGGCACGTTGTCTTTTCAGATGGCCCTCCAGCAGCACGGCAACCTTGATGGTAAATGCCATCACTGCTCATTGGCAGCCAGGTTCCAGAAACGTACTAGCCTCCTGGGGCCCAGTGTCTACAGAGCTAGGAGCATCCACCCCCTGTGGGATGGATGCAGGGAGCCTGCACCGTGGAGGAATTGGTCATCCATGTGGGTGTGTGGTCCCATCCACAAATGCCCCCCCGGGCTGCCCTGGCACCCCCAAGCCCCCTGCCCCTCCTCCTGTTGTGCCTCCAGTGGGGGTGGCCCACAGGTTGGCATGGGAATACCCTCAACGGTGTGGGTGTCCTGCTGGACCTCGTGGCCAACAGTGAGCAGGGGCACGTTTTCATGTCAACCTTTGGGGCCTTGTACACTCTGTGTGTGGAATGCCGCTCTTTGGTGCCTGCAGGGCTGATGGGTGATGCCCACCCTCCCCACTGACAGGTGGCCAGGGCTTGTAATGGGAGCTGGTCTCTTTAAGGGTGTGTGTGCGGCAGAGTAGGAGCGTGGCTCTTAGGGCCTGCCGCTACCGCTCCCTGCCAGTGATGGACACTTGGCTCAGCCTCCTCAACTCATGACTCCCATTGGTCCTGCCTGCCCTGTCTACCACACTGCCCTTGCCTCTCAACAACACCAGAACAGAATGCTGTGGCACAATTGTCACAGACACTGCCGTGGCAGTACCTGGCAACACCTTTGGGGCATCTTTTTTTCCATGTATCCCCTTAGGGTGGTGATTAGCTGTGCCACAGCCAGCCGCCACAGCACATGCGCTACACAGGATTGCTCTGCCCACATATCTTTTTGCAGATAGAGATGGACGACTGTCACTTTTCCTCTGTTGAGAGTTCGCTTCTCCTAAGAAAAATCTGTTTTAAAAATCTTTCTGACAGGGCAAATTATGTTAGATCCTAGCAAGAGAAAACAATGTCTTGGTGTTGAAAATCATCTTAAGTATCATGGGGGAAGTTTTCTGCCCTTCTGAGAGATTTTGTTCTTGTTTTGGGTTTTTTTGTCTATTAATCATTTTCGTTTTTTATCAAGATGACTTCTGATTTAAAATCTATGACTTATGGGACTAAGCTTGCACATTTCTCAAGAGTGTGCGTGACAGCGACTGTAACCTTGCAATGATTACGTTGGAAGATATCAGATTTCTGAGCAAAAAATAAAAAGGTCTCTTCCTTCATGCACTCCCCCCCCCCTTTCCTTGGAAAGGAATAGTTTTTCGTGGAAAGTCCAAAAGAGGAGTGTCTGCAGATTGCCAGATTATAATATGCTTCTTGCAGTGTATGTAAAGCCACTGTAAATGTAGTGTATGTAAAGCCATAGGTATACTCGTATTTCTCTGTGAATCGGTGTTCTATTTCCATTGCAAGCGACGTATAAACTTCATGGGGACGTCTTTAAAAATTGCAGATTTTGATAGCATGGTGTCTGTTTTCATTTGGAAATGGAAATATTTGTCTATGAACTGAGCTGCCAGCTGATTAAAAAAAAAGGAACACAATGCTTTTCACAGCAATGCATGCAACAATATGAAAAGTAGTGGTTCTAGAACAGGGGTGGCCAAACTTGCTTAACATAAGAGAAGAAGAAGACGAGATTGGATTTATACCCTGCCCTTCATTACCCAAAGGTAGAGCCGGGTTTGATTCCCCACTCCTCCAGTTGCACCTTGCTGGATGACCTTGGGCAAGCCATAGCTCTGATAAGAGCTGTTCTTGAAAAAAGAGCAGTTTCTGTCAAGAGCTCTCTCAGCCCCACTTACCTCACAGGGTGTCTGTTGTGGGGAGGGGAAGGGAAAGGAGTTTGTAAGCCGCTCTGAGACACCTTTGGGTAGTGAAGGGCGGGGTATAAATCCACTCTCTTCTTCTTTTAGCCTGATCTCATCAGATCTTGGAAGCTAAGCAGGGTCTTCCCTGGTTAGTACTTGGGTGGGTGACCACCTAGGAAGCCCAAGGTTGCAACACAGGCAGGGAATGGAAAACCGCCTCTGTTCATCTCTTGCCTAGAAAACCATACAGGTTGCCATAGGTTGGCTACAACTTGACACCTGATCCTACAGGGGACTGATTCTCTCCCTAATATCTTCCCCTTGTTAGTGGTTGAGGCAGAGACTTCCAGTTCCATGGCGCTTTTATCCAGAGGTCAACATGTTCCCCCAAACCATTAATTTTCAGTTTCTAACCATGAATGGGTTATAGCTTCTATGTAATAAAGTATGCAAGGAGGTTAGCACTTGAGAGCAGAAGGTCAAATAAGTATGAAGACTACAAATGGGTTTCAACTTTGAAAAAAATAACCATTTTAGGCTAAATATTCTCAGAGAATACTTAACTATGGAGCGCATTAGTTGGTTCAGCAATAGCAGCAGCAAAATATGTTTAGGTGACAGCTGGGAAGACATTTTCCCCCCTAGCATATGTCCAATAAGCTCTCTGCCCCATGCTTACTTCCATAGGTCTTGTCTTGTTCTTGCAATTGTGACAGTTCTATGTAATCCCAAATTGTGTTCTCTTCATATGAAAGAGTGCTGTCTAGAGATACCTGAATGTGTTTTTGCATGTTTAGGTATTCTCAACGAAGTGGATTTTCGGGTATAATTGTTTTGGGGTGGCGTTTCCAGACACCCATGGTGTGGCACTAGCAGTCTTATTTCAGTTTTCCATTTATTTGCTGCTTGGGAATGGATTCTACGAATGTATAGAAAGCAAACAAATGTAAAACTGAACAAGAGCAAAGGCCCTAAACGTCGCTGGCCAAAGTAAATTGAAAGATAACTGCTCTCAAAAGCCATTCTTCAGTTACAGTAGATGGTGGAGGGTTATTCCAAGTGGAACTAGATAACCAAGGAATACAAAGCTGGTGTAAGCCATAGCAGTTTGGATGCTACCACTGGAAGATTCTGGCAAATAAAGCTTGTATAGCTGGAAAGATCTGCTGACATTAGCACGTATCCAAGCAGTACCTTGTTTTAAAATGAATCTCTGTAACTTTGTTTCTTAGGGACTTAACATGGCACCCAGTACCGGACATGCAAGGCAAAATGTATGAACCTCACTCTCATGCGTTCATAGATTTGAATCATGATTTCACTGCAGGTGAGTGATCAATTCTGAAAGCTTTAAAAAAGTTTCATGTGGCAGTTCAGCTGTTCATAAGCGCTGTAAGTGTTTTAAATGTTTATGGATGAGTTGTGAGTTTTCCGTGGCTGGCTGGACTTTGGGGCCGGGGGGGGGGGATTCTCAAGAACAAGAAATTGGGACAATTTTTTCCATCTTTCTGCACTGCCACCCATTTGTTGACGAGTATAGGCTGCTCAGACCTGGATGGCCCAGGCTAGCCCAATCTCACCAGATCTCAGAAGCTAAGAAGGGTTGGCCCTGGATAGTATTTGGATGGGAGGCAACCAAGGAAGCCCAGGCTATGCAGAGGAAGGCAATGGCAAACCACCTCTGAACATCTTTTGCCTTGCAAACCCCATGAAGGGTTGGTGTAAGTCGTCCACAACTTGATGGTACCTTCCACCACCACTGCCATAGGTTGGTAAGACCACATTACATCCACACTGGGCACTAGCACATTGCCTGGCTAAGTTGTAAGGCCCTCATTTTGACCTTTAAAGGCACTTGTGGCATGGGTTGGTAGTCTTTCAGGGAGCGCCTTCTTCCCCATGAGCCCCTTCAGGGCCTTAAGGTCCACTGGTGAGTCCCTTCCATAGGTACATAAGGTTCTTACTAATATACCTTTAAGTACATAAGGTTCTTACTAATCAGGAGCAGACCTTTTTTCTGTGGTCGCTCTGGAATCGTAGGACACTCTCTTGTGGGACATCCATGTGCTTCTGGTCTCCGTGTGTAGTTAGATGGGAAGCCTCAATTCTCTTGGACATTTGAGGATTGGTAGAGGTTCTCATTGCGTTTGTGTAGTTCTGCATTTCCTCCGTGTTCTTATTTCTATAACTGATTGGTCTCTGGTCCAGTTGGTATTTTCAAATCATTGCAAACTTTCTGCCGAAAGGCGATCTCTGAGTATTACTAAGAGAGTCCTGTTAGCAAAGAGGTTGAGGCTTAGATGTTTGTGGCGCAGTCTGTCTCTATGCTGCTCAAAGGGGGCTCTGAGAACGGTTCTGTCTGTTGCTTGCTGTGCCTTCTCGTTTGCCACGTGAGGAAGTTGGCTAATCAGCTTTCAAAGTATCTGAGATTCGAGCCCAGCAGTCAGGCTTAGTCACATCGTTTAGCACCAGGAGATGCCTAACTGAAAAATGGATTAAAAAAAAAACCTGTCTCATGGAAAAGAAGTTCTTGGAAGAGTTGTTTGCTGCCTATTTTTTATTTGCTCAAATTTAGTATCGATGTTTTCCAAACTTGGTTATCCTTTAAAACAGCACAGAAATTTGTGCCCTTTTAAAATTTGCTTAGAGACTTAAGGAAGTGTCTCATATTCACCTCTTTTTCTTTTCCTAATTAGTGCTCGTTCGCTTAAAGAAAGTAACACTGGTCAGGCTCTAAAGTATGGCTGAGAGTGACCATGTGGTTATAGAGGTTAGATTTGGGAGACTCAGGTCATCACGCAGCGTAACACAGCTGGGTCCCCCCCCCCGCCCCAATGTGCAGGAGCACTGCATTACGCTCTTAACACGGAAGAGGAATCTTGTGTGCATCTTCGGGGTAGAAAAGGAAAAGTGATCTCTCATGGGGATCCCTCTTCATATCGGCGAGGTCCTTGTCGTAGGATGACAGTGCCCTGTGTGTTAACACACCGTGTTGCAACAGATGTTGCCCAAATAGTCGATCCAGCTTAAATTGTTTTTGATGGCTCTATCGTTCTAAGCAGCTTAACAGATTGAACGTGTGTCTGAAAGGGGGGGGGGGATTCCTCTCTCGCTTGAGAATCTCTATACCAATTTCAGCCTAATCTGTCGTCAAGCAACCTAGGGTACTAAAGCTCTCGGCCAGCCCTGTGGACGTTAGCGTTCTGCACCGGCGGGATCCAAAGAGCCGCGCGCCTTGTTCTGCACACTGCCAAGGGACGTCAGCCTTCTAGTTTCCCTTGCAGAGCGGCCCACTCCGAATACCACAAGGCAAAGCTGCTTTTGGAAGTCAGTCATTTCTAAAACGGTTTGAGATGTGCCACCTTGCTCTGCTGTTCCCAGCCAGCTCCAAACTTTTCTGTGCACTTAAAGGAGCTTTTGGGATCCTCACCCTGATGATTTCACTATAGTTTGCCCTGATAATCCCCCCCCCCCGCTTTCCCCATCATAGCCCAAATGAGTCTTACAGCAGTAATCACAAAACCTTCAATGGTTAACCTAACTGGGATAATTATTAATTAATTAATTAATTTTATTCCATTTTTTATCCCGCCCTCCGCAAACAGGCTCAGGGCGGCTTACATTCATTGGTTCAAAGTATCATAAATCCACATAAAACACATAAAAGCAGTTAAAACATTTTGAACAGTCAAATAATCACAGTACTAACAGCAGTTCTTGGGAGCTTGATGCCCGGTCCCACATCGACCCTGCCCCAGCTGCCTGAGCTGAGGTCAGCTGGGGCCCGGCCTCACCCATGCGAGGAAGGCCGGGAGAGGGAGGTTTCTGGGACCCAGGGAGATCTCTCCAACACAGCTGAGAACAAGGCAGAGAGCCCGGCAGTGGTGGGGAGCAGTGTTCCCTCTAAGCTGAGTTAGTGTGAGCTAGCTCACAGTTTTTTAGCCTCTGGCTCACACATTTTTGCCTTCATTCAGGAAGGACGGCTCCAGAGCAAACTGATTTATGCAGTAGCCAAATCGCTCGCTCACAACTTTAATGCCAGTAGCTCACCAAGGAGAATGTATTTTTTTTTTTGCTCCCCGATGGGGAATTTTTTATTGCATTCTTATTAAAACTACAAAGTATAAAAGAAATAAGGGAGGGGACTACATTTAGGGGATAAAGAAAAGATACCCACTACCGACTAAGAACCCAAGAGAGGAGATCTTCTAATCCGCTTAAATACACATCTAGTCTTAATCATATTAATCTCATTACAAACTGAGTCACATATTCTGTTAACCTTTCCCACATCTCAAATTTAACTGACATAAGGAAATACCCCAAAGCATCTCAATTCAAGATTCTTCAAAGGCACCATTCAGAGTCCTTCAGCCTTCACTTCTTCTTGTCCAGTCTCTTCCGCAACTTGTAAGGACTTTTAGGAGCTGCTGCCCCTTTCTCTGACGGAGAGTCCTCTCCGGAAGAACCCGAGTCCAGCTCGCCACTGGACTTACTGTCCCCTTCTTTTTCTTCCTCCTAGGAGAATGTTTGCTCACAAGACTCCACAGCTTAGAGGGATCATTGGTGGGGATGGGCGTGGTCAGAACGCAAGGCTGAGCTCAGATTTGGGGAAGGACAGAATGGGAGAGACTAAGAGGAAGCCCTGAGCAGCAAGAGGAAGAGGCAGGGAAGGCGCCACACTGAGAGAGAGAGTCAGTCAGTCAGGGGAAAGGTGCTGGAACCTCTTCTCCTTCCCAGGTCTGAAGCTGTTGGGCCAGTTGCCCTCTTTGGTGGATGTCAGAGAAACCTTCAGGACTTCACAATATTCATCATAGTTTATTATGCTGATAATCAAAATGCAGGCCTCTTGAGTCATCATGATTTTTAATTATGTAACTAAAAATGGACTTGAACCGTTAACAACATTTCGTTGGGTAACGGCCCGAGGGTTTTCTTGGGAAAACATCATCAACCAGGGCAAAACAATATTGATCAGATCTACCATGCTTTAAAGAGAGCTTTATTTCTTATCCTTTCTGTATCCATGTTCTAATCTTGTAATGTGTTTTTGCGTGGTTCTTAAGAAATTCACGGGGAGGACTGTGAATAAGATAAACACAAAACATGAAAGCGGCCCTGTCTGTCTATATATCTTCTTGCCTCCAAAGGACTTGCAGTTGGAACAGTGGGCTCCTCATAAATAGCAGTGAAGCACACATGGTTTTGTTTGGGCTGAATGTGCCTTTAGTTGACTGCATGGAGTGTCTCCATAGAAAGAAGGCTATTTTTTCCACTGGAGTGCTGTCAAGGAAAATAGGGGTTTATCTTACTTACTAATAGATTAGGCTGAAAGAACATGGCTAGTCCAAAGTCACCTACTGAGCTTCCATAGTAGAGCAGGAGTCCATAATCTGTCCATTAGGTCTAGATGGCCCACGCTAGACCAGTCTTGTCAGATCTTGGAAGCTAAGCAGCATCAGCCCTGGTGAGTTGTTGTTGTATGGCATTGTGTGTAGTATAGCCAGGAGGTCCTAAGATTGTCTGGCAGTCGCAAGTTCTAGCTCTTTTAGTGTTATGCACCACTAGGTGGCGAGCTAGACTTGTTTTTTAAGGCGAGAGACATTTCAGAGGTGGTTTGCCATTGCCTGCCTCTGCATCATGACCCCGGTATTCCTTAGTCCCTGGTGAATATTTGGATGGGAGACCACCAAAGAAGCCCAATGTCACTACGGAGGGGCAGGAAATGGCAAACCGCCTCTGTTTGTCTCTTCCCTTGAAAACCCTGTGTGGTCGGCATAATTCAGCTGCGCCTTGATGGTACTTACAGTTTTAAGGGGCTTCTCTTCCTTGGGGGTAAATATGGTAGTTTTTCTGAGCATTGCTTCATCTGTTCAATCAGTCTCTCTTTGTTCTGAAAACACTTTCAGCACTGCACGGGGAGGGGGGGGGAGTTACCTATTCCGGAATAAGTTGTATCTGTTTTTCCTTTATTTATCTCTCATTATCCTTCCTCCACCTCTGTGACATTGAAATAGTAATTTGAATTTTATTGTTTAACCAAAAACACAGTTGCTGCCTGAAATGGAAATTTGATATTTGGAATCTTTTTTTTCTATGACCTCTGAACGCAAACAATGTATTCTAAATAAGTGTTTTCAGCAATTCCAAATTATAAAATGGGCGATGAATACAACTCGCTTCTGACTGTGTGTTTAAAGTACTAATATGTCAAAGTCAACGGCAGTTACTTCAGATTGAACGGCGCTTGGTTCCTGCAGTACGCAAGAGGGCAGATGAGTTTTGATGGATTTTTACAGTTCACTGCTTCAGCTTCAATATATCCCT